TTCAAGTATTTTGGTTGTATGGTTTGGATTATTCATTTGGATATTTCGAATCCCACCATGAACTAAACCTTAAATGGTGTGGGTTTTTATGGATGATTAAGTATTTGCTTTAATGAATTATTTGAATTTTTATGTTTTTCTATTTCTTTTGCTCATTGTGCTTTATTTCTTAGGATTGTAGGAGCTATGGGAGTAGCATTTTCTTAGGTAGAACACTTAGTGTTTGAGAGAAACTAGGTGAAAGATCCTTATTGTCGTGACATTTTTATCTATCAAGTCCCATGACTAGAGATAGCGTAGGGGCACTCTTAGTAAACTTTGTTGAACAAATAGACCATAGAAGCTTGAAACATTATGAGAGGCAAGGCTTAGAAATCCTTAGTAACCCCACCATTCATTCCCATAGTAGCTTGTCGTGTGAGGATTATTAAGTCTGCTTACCTATTTTTGAATTCTCAACTCATTTTGCATTGACATTTTCAGTTGTTTACAGTTCAAATACATCTTCAATTGTCACAACATTTCTATTTGCTACACTGCCACATTTCCATCACATTTCCACAATATCATTAAACCCCCATCCGCACAGATTCCGTTTTGCCACAACATTCTCATTTATGCATACCACCACACTAACTATACTTAGATAATTTACTATTTGTGCTTTAACTTAACTTGCAATTTCCTCCAATCCTCGTGGGAGCGATACTCACTCACTCTTTATTACTTGTGTGATTGTGTATACTTGCACATAATTTGCGTCCAATTTATAATACTCACAGTACACAACAAGTTTTTGGCGCTTGTCGGGGATTGGCAATTGAAAGTTTAAAGGTTTTGTTATAGCATTTGTATTTTACTTCTGTTTGTTTGATTTTGTTTATAGTTCTACTTGTTGTTTTCTTTGTTCTTCTTTTTCAGGTTTTACTATTGCATTACCAGAAGAGCTATTAAGGAACCTCTATATCCTTTAGTACTTGAGATTGAACACTTATTTAATAGAAGACGATGTGATCAACTTGCTAATAGAGCTATGTATAGAGTTCAGAACCAAGGAGTTTCGCAAGTGCAAGATCCAACAGATTCAAATGTAGAATCACGACTTAACATCCTTCAAAGGAAGGAGTAAGATCGTTTCACGACTCAGCGTCCATCAGAGGAAAGAGTGAGATCATCATCGTATTTAGTATCCTTCAGCAAAAGAAGTGGATCACCCCGAATTACGACTTAGCGTCCTTCATAAGAAGGAGTAAGATCGTTCCACGACTCGGCGTCTTTCAGAGAAAAGAGTGAAATCGTCACCAGATTCAGCATCCTTCAGAGGAATGAGTAAGATTGTTCCATGACTCAAAGTCTTTTAGAGGAAAGAGTGAGATCGTCACCAAATTAAGAGTGACCATCGAAATCGGACAACATGGTGTATTTGGTCTTTGCCCCATTCTAGTCACATGACAATGGGCAAAGAGGGACAACTGTAGACACTATATTTTGTCCGAGAATTTTAGTTTAATAATTATTAGATTAATCATGATTTTAATTTTTAGTTATTTATATTTCAATTACTATTAGTATGCGAATTAAGTATTAATCACAATTAATTAAAAGCTCATTTATATTTTTTGGTAGAATTAATATAATATAAAGTATATATTAAATAATTATATATATATATAAATAATTTTATTCATATGATTATTGGTTACAAAAACAGATCCAACCAAGGCTCAAACAACAAGCCCAATCAATGATATAATAGGCACTCTAAGCCCATGAAAATAGGGTTTTAACCTAAGCCCATAAAATAGGGTTTTACCCTAACTCTTCCGATCGTCGTTTGCTTCCAACTATTGGATCTGTGCTTGATCCAACAGCCCAGACAAGAAGATAACTAGGGTTTATGGAACCCTACTGCTCTCTATTATTGCCGCCGCCGTCGAGACCCTCACTATCACCACCACCTATGCCCAGCCTCTCCAATCACTCTAACGCCGACGCTTTAGCTAGCTATCACAGATCAGTCAAAAAAAGGGGCCAAAATTAGTCAAAAAATAATAAATAAATAAAATGTAAGATCCACTTGCAAAAAAGGAAATCCTGAGGAGATCTGGGATTGTCAAGTCTCGGGATAGGGTAATCATGCCATATCCTCATCAAATCAACCATCAACAGAAAATAAAAAAGAGATAAAACCGAGGGGAACGAAACCAGAGAGAAGAAACGATATATAAAACAGAGAAAACATAAGAAGAAAAAAAAGGAAGAAACTGAATAAGATAACATTATCCCTCGATTTGGAACATCCTTGTTTCACCGGATTTGAAAGAAGCTTCAAAGCATCAAAAGGTAGTCCTTTTCCTTTCGGTTTCAATACTTGAGAGAGTGGGTGGGGTTGATTTCATAGTTTGGAAGTTTGGTTTGTAATGGGGTTCAAAGAGATGGGATTTAGAGAGTAAAAGAATGTCATCGCCCCCTCGTCGGGGCCATTTAGGGTGGTCGGAGAAAGTTTTTTTTTTCTCGGTGGAGATAACAGAAGCAAGGGTGAGGAAGAGAGAAGATATGGCTTAGACAGAAAAAAAATGAAAGTTGGGGTTAGAAAATTTTATAATGGGGTATTTAAATAACCCAAAACGACGTCGTATAAGGTTAGGGTTTCTATCTAGCTCATGGTCTAATTCCATGAAGAGTCATCCCTGTTTTGCAACTTTTCATTTAGTCACTAAATGCAAAGCTTTCGTTTATTATGTTTTGGGATTTAAATTTTGTTATGCTTATATTTCAGTTACTGTTCGTTTATATTTATGGTTTAGTTTAATCTCTGGCCAAGCCTAATAGTTTGAGAAAGTTCATTTCAGTCCCCCGTTTATTAAATGTAAATGCAAAGCTTTCGTTTATTATGTTTTGGGATTTAAATTTTGTTATGCTTATATTTCAGTTACTGTTCGTTTATATTTATGGTTTAGTTTAATATCTGGCCATACCTAATAGTTTGAGAAAGTTCATTTCAGTCCCCCGTTTATTAAATGTGAGAATATTATGATTTATACCATTGAATGCTGAAGTTTTGTTGTGGATTCATTTTAGTCACTGTTTTTTTAAATCATTAAGAAATAACGTGGATTAATATCCTGTTGGCTCCTTGGCAGGTTTCGTTGGGTTTGATTCAATTTGGTGTTTTATTCTACTTTATTTGAATACTCTTTAACCTTTCTTATATGTGTGTGTGTGCCATATATAGTTTGGTTAATTATATAGGTGTGATATTTATTATTATTATATATATATATATTATTAAATTAATTATATTACGAATATATGTATAAATAGGTATTAAAATATAAAAAGAATTCTCGATCCAAAATCATGTTTTAGTAACATATATTCTATTTTTTATGTTTTTAAAATACGTTCATATTTTATTTTATATGGTTTTATATTTTTACTATTATTTTATTATTCATTTATTTATTTATTATATCTTTCTAGTATATTTTCAAGAACTTTTATCGTAGAATGGGTGTAAAAAGCACCACTCTATAGAAGAAGTGTGATTCGACGACTTTCAAACGAAAAGCGAACTTATAATTAATTAGTCAGTTTCAGTAAAGAGGGTCATACTTTAATTTCTAACTCGAATTTATGGTTTCCATTGTTACGATGACGACGTATAAGCGATTTGGTACTAATTTTAGGCGTTGCGGGGTTCTCACCCTTCCCCACATGTAATCGACTCTCGAACTCTTAAAAACGAATCTTTGATAAACACAGACCGATATTTGTCTTTAAAATATTTTTTAATTTTAAATGACATTTTTAGGTATTCAATCTACCTAACCCAAAGGTCGATGATGACTCCAAATTCAAATTAAATCAAATTTTAATAAAAAAATCCAATTTTCCAAAACAAAATCATAATTATTTTTAATTCAATTAACTCGTTAAAAAAGGTTATTACATATACTATAATAGGTAATGCAATATCTTAAATTAGTTAAAATATATCAAGCCTAGTGTTATAATAGGTAATGTAATATTCTAAATTAAGTATATCAATTTTAAGATTAAGCCTACAAATTTGTAATAATAATAAACTAAAAGAACGTAATATCTTCATATTATATTGATGTTTTCTTTTAGAAAAACCATTATTTAAACACACATCTAATTTTTATATGTTACCAATCTACATTCTTTAATTTTAAATTATTTCCTTTGGATGCTATTTTATTGGAAAAATAAAATCGAAGGATATTACTTAATAATTTTAAATTCTAAATTTATTATGAATATGATTTTATCTATATAGAAATAGCTTTTATTTGTTAATTTTTTTATAGTAAGTTTTATTCATGTGCTTGTACCTTTAACCAACTAATCAGAATATTGGCATATGTTCGATTCTAAAATCAGAATTATGGGCAGTTTATGATGGGTTAATTCTTGCGAGAGAATTAGGCTTCTTTCAGGTGATTTAAGAGATGAATAAAGATTAAGAGTGTAAGCATACAATGTTAAATGATTAAGAGTTATCTTTGAACGGATATTACCTTGTATTTACTCCATATTAATAAAAAAATATAAGATATAAATAACGACACTATTAGCTTGATCACTAACGTCGAATGCGATAAGGAATAAGACGTGCTTGTTAATCATGTTAATTGAAAAGGGAATAAAACAGCCGACACCACAGCAAAATTAGCATTTGAATAAGGTTAGAACCCCACTGCCAACAATAGCCATCAGTTAGTTGATGGATTATTTTGTAATTACTTCAATTATTAAAATTATTATTGAAGTTTAATTACATGATTAGAAAATAATATATGTATAAAAAAAAATTAACCATTGGCAACACGTATAAGCTCTATAAACGTAATTGCTCGTAATTGCTCGACCCCAGAAATTCATGTTCCCTGTAAATTAAACTCGAATAAGGCATTTAATAATGCTTAAGAAACAGTATGCCTAAATTTGCAAGAGGAACTTACCAAATTTGGATATTTTGGTCATTAAACAGCTTAGAGTTGTACTAAAGGAAATTTGGTTTTAGACTAACAAGTTTCCAACATCAACAGGTAAATTCGAAACCAACAAAAGAATATAAAAAGGCTTAAATCCATACGATCTAAATAAAATCACAGAACCAAACGTTCACAACTCCATAAGCATTTTCTCAAGCTTTTGGCTGGTTTGCACTCTTGTACATGTCGTCAATAACGCTCTGCACCCAAATGGTTTTTAGTCAGTGATCCGGCACGTGCTCATGCATGCACGCACGCACACACGCACGCAAAAGATAACCGAGACAGCAGGAGAAAGTTGAAAAAGACCAACTAAACACAAGTGAAAGGGGGCAGAAAAAGCTAACCTGATAATATTTAAGCAGTTGAGGCCTCTTCTTCTTAAATGTTGGAGTGATAAGGTCGCGTTCCATGTCAAAGGGCATCGGATCGAGATGAACGGCTCTTATGAACTCGAAACCTTTCAGCTGCGCAAAGATTATAACATTAAGTATAAATGTCGGGTTTATATTTTCCTTTTGTAGGTGGACTCGTAGTTTATGGGCTCTGGAAAATGAAAAGGGGGTGAAAAGCATTAATAACAAACCTTTTTCTCTTTGCCAGTCTTTGCGAGCTCTCCAAGTATGAACTCTTTGGCCTTGGGGTTTTGGCAGATGGACTCGAACTCACCACTTACATTATTGCCAGCAGCCCAGCTTTCGAGTGCTTCCTTATTCGGGTTCACGACTGCCACGAGGGACGACTCAAAGCTGTTTCCGTAAATCCATATCTGAAATCGATGAAAACAAGAAATGTAAATCCATTTTACATTTTAACTCCAACATCATGCATGGTAATGTATCACAGAGAGAGCACAAGAAACGTACCGAATCAATGGCCGACGTTTGACCATATATATTCTCCAGGTTCTCAACCGCAACATATTCTCCTTGTGAAAGCTTAAAAATGTTCTTCTTCCGATCAATAATTTTCATGCTTCCGTTTGGTTGCCACTCACCAACATCCCCTAATGCACAAAGAACAAAGGATGTCAACTTATAGATATAAAATCTCTACTTAAAAAGAGACAAACTAGAAGACCTGTGTGGAGCCACCCATCGACCAATACTTCAGAGGTGAGGTCTTCACGTTTGTGGTATCCTGAGAATAATGTTTTTCCCCTGATACAAACCTCCCCTCGCGGTGTGCTAGAAAGGGCATCGTAATTCATTTCGGGAACAGATTCCAGGCGTACATCTACATTTGGCACTGGAGGCCCCACGGTACCAAGCATTGATAATTCATTAGGTAAACAGACGAAACTCCCCCCGCAACTCTCCGTCAGACCTACATTCAGGTTGATATAATGTTGATAAATTGTTTGTGTTGAAGCAAGTGTGCACAGCTGGTAAAGGAAAAGGAAATTTATCACAAGAACAAAGGCCGACTTCAACTATACCATATCCCTGAATAACATGACAACATGCCACAACTCGCAGGAACTCTTCCACATGAGCAGAAAGGGGTGCTGCACCGGATAGAATAAGCCGCACATTCCCTCCCAAACCTTGCTTTACCTGAGAAAAATTACATCTCGACATGAGATTTAGTAGTCAACAGCATTTGTGTTGCCGATAAATGTGTTTTAATTAGCTTTTGACCAATATGAAAGTAGCCTTGATCATATTATATACCAATGAAGACTTTCATCACCTTACTGAAGACAATTTTGTCACAAATCGGAGATGCTTCTCCATGTTTGTGGCCTTTCTTCATGTTATAGTATTTGCTGTAGGTGTTGGCATAGATGTCAGATATTAGTATGATCAAAGCTAAATGTAATCCATATCAAGCAACTCTGCTAAACACAGTAACAAGAAACACGAGCACAAAATGCGCAACAGATTCAAAAGCTCATAATCCAGTAGGTATTTGAGACAATTCAAGTTTTGTTACAAGTACAAAGATGGTCTTGTCCCTAAAGGAGACCACCGTCAAGGCCGTCTAGAGGAACAACTCAGAGTTCACACAGTGGGGGTATATCCGACTCCTGTAGGAGACCCTTTTTATCAGCTTTTGGATCTAGCGCTAGCATATCAGAGTGGGCACCAGCTCATCCGGTGTGCTCGACATGTGGCATGAGGTACCCCGGAGAGTGCTATCGAGCGACTAGAGGTTGCTTTAGCTGTGGGTCCTTGGACCACTTTGTAAGAGACTGTCCTCGAGTTTAGATTTCAGCCCCCACATCATCGCAAAGATCTAATCATCTGTTTAGCGAGGCCCAGTGTTCTCGAGGAGTGGCAGAGTTGCTTCAAGGTAGTATAGTAGGAGTACCACTAGATCTGAAACTATTCAGGTGCCTAGAGTAGCCTCATGCCAGTATATCGTGCGAGCCCAGGAGTACGATACTGCTGATGTGATTTTAGGTATATTCAGTCTTCTCCATTCTTGTTACTGCACTGGTAGATCCTGGTTCCACCCACTCCTATGTTTGTTAGGATCTGGACTGAAAGATAAATATCTCGGCTGAGGATTTAGAGATAGGGGTTAGGTTAGAGTGTCTAGTCCCCTAGGATTAGATGTCTTGATTGACAAGGTTTATCGTCGATGTCCTATAGAGTTTCAGGGTGAGGTATTCTTAGCCGATTTGATGGAGCTACCGTTTCGGAAGTTCGATGTGATCTTAGGCAGCATATTTTTCTTGCCTCGACAAAACTTTTCTACTCACTTCACTTTACAATTTTTCTTGCTCGGCCATATTTTTTCGATCTGTTCATACCATTTTCCATTGCATATTTTCCTTGTTTATATCATTAGACTTATATACTTAGGATTAGTTAGTGACACCTATTCCTAGCTGTAGCAATCTTTTAAAAGCCCTCCAATCCCTATAAAGACGATAACTCACTCACTACTATATTACTTGCATCGATTGTGTATACTTGCACGGATTTGCTTGCCTTAGCATATGCATTTACAAGCGATCAACCATCAAGAATAGTTACCATCTCTCTAGGATAGACGATCTCTTTGATCAGCTTAGGGGAACCTACGTTTTCTCTAAAATTAACACAAGGTCGGGGTACTACCAATTGAAGGTGAAAGATGTAGCAAAAACGATTTTTAGGACAAGGTATGGTTGTTATGAGTTTCTCGTGATGTCGTTTGGACTCACCAATCTCTATCGGTATTCATGGACAAGATGAATGAAGTCTTTCACCCATACATAGATCAGTTCATAGTGGTATTCATAGACAACATCCTTGTGTACTCGTGATCAAAAGAAGATCATGACTAAAACCTCCGTTTTATTATGCAAATGCTTTGAGAGTGTCAGTTATATGCTAAGCTCGGGAAGTATGAATTCTGGTTGTCAGAGGTATCATTTTTGGTCACGTCGTAGCAACAGACGGCATCCAAGTGGACCCTCAGAAGATTCAAGTTGTAGTTGAGTGGGAGCCACCAAGGAATATGTTAGAAATGCATAGTTTCTTTGGTATATCTAAGTACTATCATTGGTTCATCTAGGACTTCTCGATGATAGATTCCCCATCAACAAAATTACTTTAAAAGGGATTATTTTCGTGTGGGATGAGAAATGACAGAGTGTTTTTGAGAGATTGCCGTTTTTCTAGAAATAGATTCTTAGATTCGAGAGAATTAAGATAGATCTACGTGAGCAATGGAATAGATTCGGGATGGTGATGTTCTAACCTGCCTTAGAGATAAGCAGAGGGTTTCAATAGACTAAAAGGGATAGACACTTGAGTAGGATAGACAACGACTATAATTCACGCTGAGGGGTATTACCACAACAACAGTCTGACAAACCAAGGGTTGTAGCTCACGACGGGTAGTATTGCCATAGCAACAGTCTAAGAATACTTAGTAATCCTGTCGGACAGCCTAAGCATAGCATACCAAATCATTCTTATCCTGAAATAACTTCTGGCCATAGCAAAGCCAACCTAAGTGCCCAAAGAAAACTTCCAAATAGTGGTGAGCAAACGTCAGCACAAAAACCAACTGACACATTCAATTTATTGGTTTTGGATTGGTTAGCAACCAACGAAATTTATAACCAAATCGGGCTGACCTTAATATATATTATTTTCATTTATATAAGTAATTTAACCCCATAAATTCACCATAAAAAGCCAGTCCAATCCAAATTATTTTAACGCAACTCAAATTTAAATTAAATCCGAAGTTCTTTTTACACGCATCCATTTATTTCAAGTACAAAACAGTCCTAAGAATTGAACGTAAATTCTAGAAGCAATTTCCACCCAGACCAGCAGGTCTCCTATGGTTATATTCTTTAAGATTTGCAGTCAAAATCTTTATAGCAATTTCTGTTATTTCGACATAACAGTTAACTGCAGAAATAAGAATAAAATGCTTTTGATCAAACATTTAATGGAACATTAAACTTTTGAGCAAACTTTAATCAAAGTTTTCCACAAGCAATAATGCATTGTAGAAACAAAAGGCCGGAAAACAGTAAAAGACGGTTAACACACTGAAGTGAGACATGCTAAATTGACTGGATTAGGTTGGTCATTTTTTTTTAAACTGAACCAACTGAAGAAACTGATTAGTCTTCCTTGGGCCCTAATATCCTTTGTTCTGTGTACTGGTGAGTAAGCGTTGTGAAACTAATAAAACAATTTAACCCTATTTGCAATCAATATTTATTGCCGGTTAGCAGATAAAATGAACCACTTCTCATTAGAAACTGAATATATAAGTAACTTACTATGCGAATGCCAAATCAAACATCTTCTTTTTCACGAAACCACCCCCAGAAACCTTCTGTATTAAACCTGATAATGTAAGAAGGTTATGACAGTCAGTCAGCTGAAAATGCAGTGACGTCTTTCAAAAGAAAACTGAATAAATTTTATTATGTTTGATGTAAAATTGAATCAATAGTTTATATCATTTATTTAAATAAATACTAAAAGAGAAAATTAAGTTTTCCGGCAAGTATGTATTCCAGGTTGCCTAATGTAACCTTCAAAAACAACCCAAAAATGACATTGCCTAAGCCAGGTTAAAAAGACCCCTCAAATACAAAAATGCTAGAAACCAGTCTCCTCAGAATATTCAAGAATGTAAGGAAGGTAACCTGAATAGATTCTATCCAACACACGAGGAACAGCACAGAGGATACTTGGCTTTAGCTCCCCAATATCTTCTACCAACAGTTTCACGTCCTGAGGATGAAACAAATAAGCACTTGCTAATTTGAATAAATTCTTATTGAAACGGTATCAACTAATCGTGCTTACCCCACGCCAAAATCCTATTGAAGCACCATGTGAAATAAATGCTTCCTCAATCACACGGTCAAAGATATGCGCTAGAGGAAGATAAGAAATATATACATCGGTCGTACTCAACTGTTAATTTCACAAGAAACAAAAAAAATTAGAGAAAAAGCAAGGAAGAGAAAAACCATGACAAAATTTAGAAGGGAAAAAGATAACACAGGTCAAACAAAGCGACTGGTGAAATGGTTTGTATTCGAATCAAAAAATCAAATGAAAAGATCACCTGTTCATTTACACTCGCTAGCAGGCGTTTCACCCCTGCTATAAGAGTAACGATACTTTCATTTGAAATCAGGACTCCCTTTGGGTCGCCGGTTGTTCCACTAGTATACATTATTGTGCAGATATCAGTTTTCTTCTTCACCGGAAGATCAAATGTTTTATTTTCTCCCTGCAAGAAACAGGCATCAAACTTGAATCAGAATCAACAGTAACTTATAAGCTAAAATCCAGATCCAGTAATGGTTGATAAACATTAAATAAAATTATGAAACAATTATTAAAAAAAATGCATGAGACATGGTTATGCAACAATCTACATAACATTCGCTAGAGAATGCTCAATCACAATGAATACATGGAACATGTCAACTCATATATTTACAAAGACAGAGACCCGTGCATGGAAAAGTAATGAATTATTAGCTCATATTAAGCACTGCAAAACATGGGTTTTATCTGAACTCATAACTAACAGGATAGCAGTCTGCTATAATAAACACATGTTCAGCAGAATAAATTTTTTTAGTGATAAATTCAAGAAGAGCATAACGGAGCAAATAGCCTACCAACTGCAAAAAATTCCTCCCAAGAATATATCGCCAAGTCATGCTTCTCAGCTTCTGCCTTCTGCTCAGGTGTTACTTTCCCAAAGCTAACAATGGCTGCATAGCGAACATACATACATGCACATAAATTATTTGTAACACAATACATAAGAATAAAATCCCTGCCAACACCCCAAACCAAAAAATAAAAATAAAAAAGGGAAAATTACATGGTTGGTCATCCAACTATCAAAAGTTTTCATTTCGGTTTAGTAGTGTTTCAAGTACTTGAACTCTAGCTTAGCCTAAAACTTTTCGGTTTCAGTTTCAACCTAAAATATAAATATTGTCAACAACTAACAAGTAAATAAAATGCTCAAGTTGGTGCAGTGATTACTTGGGTTTCAATCCTAGCTCAAGCACCATTATTTTATTTTCATCTAACCATAGACCAATCACACGTTGAAACATGTCACCAAAATGAAAATGTAATATAAACTTTAGCAGCCATTTTCCAAGTTTCTGAATTTAGTTTACACAACAAATAAAATAAGATGACTTACATTTTAAGTATTCTCTTGAGGCTGGAAATGTTTTAAACAGCTGAAAGGGCAAAGAAAAACCTTACATGAGAAACCAAAAAAAAAATTTTGGAATCACAGATTCCCAAATCAAAACCAAATATGGAAAACTGAGCAGCATGCATAGAAGCGAATGCTGATGATAAAAAAACAGTGGATCTATCAAGTAGAAACTTATTTTTGCAAATATCTAGCAAGATCTTCCGAAATTGTTGCCAGAACAATACTAGGATTTCAAATATAGGTGTAAATATGCATACCTCATTAATCTTCTTTTCCTCTACAAAAGCAATAGAAACTTCTGCATGGCATATTATAAACTCCACAGCACCAGCACCTATAAATATACAACAAAGGATCGAATCAAAAAATCATATACATTAGCAAACACATCGAAATGGGCAAATAAGTTAAAGGGTTTAAAAATGTTCTAAATAACAGACTATTATGATATCCAAAAAAGAGGAAGCTTCCATAATACACAAGCTTGTTGTCCGTGAAAACTGAAAAGTACTGATTTAGAAAGACTTGAAAGCATGCTTTTATTGGTTCTCAAGAAGAAATACCTAGAGTGTCATACAAAGGAACACAATAGAGTCCATGAGCATTGCAGGCCTGTATCAATGTTGCAGCATTAGCAAACATTTTGAGCAACAAGCATTTTCGTGGAAAAACATATGCTAAACAGAAATAAGTTACAGTGACATCCAAGACACCGGAGATGTCTACTTGATCATACCTCCATGCTTATTATCCACTCTGGGCAATTGACACCATAAATACCACATTTTTGTCCCTGTAACAAAGAATAAAACGCTTAAAAAATTTAAAACACGCATCAATTGTGGTGTGGATATCTATCCCAGAAATAATTTTTTATTGTTATAAAATCTTGACAAATAACTTTACAATTAAAAAGCAAAAAAGTTAGAGCATTACTTTCTCAACACCACAACTTCGGAGGGCATTCCCGACTTTTATTACAATGTCGTAAACTTCTTTGTAAGTTTGCCACACATATTTTCCAGCCTGCAGTAAAAGCAGCAATTTAGACATGAAGTAAAAGTCAAAGGAAGCACTAGAACAGAAAGCAAAAATAACAATAAACTAGGAAAGAAAAAGGAAAAGAAGTCTGCAGCAGCAACCATACTTTCCCATCCACAATCTGCCGGCGACCAAGCATAGGGTTGGTAGGATATTTTTCAACCGACATACTGCAAAGAGAGAACGAAATGGAAATCATTATCCTAGATCCAAAATTACTCATTACCCGAGCATAATAAGTAGTTGTCTTCCAGTTAGTTAACAAGTTCAATCACCCCGCATCCATGACTAAGCTAAATCATAAATAGGCAAAGTTTTAATCTCCGTATCACATAAGCATCAAGATCGAAATAATTACCCACTTTTAAATTATATATTTTACAGTTTTACACTGAGCTGAATAAAAACCACCGATCTGTCAATTAAAAGCATGGAAATATCACCATCTTCATTCTTTCTCTGTGTGAGCGTTAAAATTCAAAAGATTCATATAATAGGCGCCTCGATCTTAAAAAAACTCTCATACGATCCTTAAAAGGACGTTCCTCGATCTCATCGCCACTCCGGTGCGAAATCAAACAAATAAGCAAACAAATTAAAAAATTTACTGAACTTCAAAAGAAAAGAAAAAGCAACCAATTCGAAAGTCATCTGAAATCTAAAAAAAAAGTCAAACTTTCTCTCGTAGTTTCATTATTTTCTTAGCAGTCAATCAAGAGGCTTAAAGTCTAAAAATCTAACCGGAAAATGTCCCAGCAACTTTCCATTCCAGGAATCGGAGCAGGGAATCCATCCTTGGCAAAAATACTGCGATAAGAAGGGCCGATCGACGGCTGTCCGTCGCTGGCCGCTTTCCCTTCCTCTACCTTTACTAAATAATTATTTTCAGCCATTTGATCAAAAATGTTCAGATCGAACGCTCCGTGCAGCTTTTCTGATCTTACAACTCTCTCTCTATATATGAAGGCACCTCAGAGTGAATTGTGGAGAAGGAATTTTTTGAGAGAAAAAAATATAGCTCCTAATAAATAGGCGGCTGTGGACAACCCTGTTTTCTTTTTACTATTATTTTTATTAATTTCCTTTTAGGTTCGGGCATGCATTTGTATTGTAGTAATACTTGGTCAAGCTACGTCTTCCTCACGTTAAAATTTTTTATTTGTTTATTATAATTATATATTTGATAAATTCTTAAAATACCTAGACCTACTAATATATATGTGGTTTAATATCAAAATAAGTGTCTAAACTATACTAAAATTCTCGAATAGGTACCTAAACTAATTTTCTGACTCATCCGGTGTCTAATGTTACAAACGTTACCCATTTAGGTATCCAGGTCGTCAACAATGTTAATTTTCCAGTTAAGTAACACATATCATATTTAAAATTTTTTATTTAAAATTTAAAAAATAAAATTATATATATTTTTAAAGAAAAACATAAACATTTTGAAATAAACCAAAAACTTTGAAAACCTTCATTTCAACCCCTAAACCTACGTCGGCCATCGCCCTTGACCATCGACGAAGCTTCACATCTTCATCTCCCCCCAGCTACCAAAACCCCCATGAAATCGTGATCGATCGACGACGAATTGACATTTTATACCCAGCAAAACCTAGGATGAAAATAGCAAACTTGATGGTCAATCGATGACAACTACGATGGGGTATAACTAGGAGGACGGTAGGGACTATGTAGGCGGCGGTGGTTGTGGTCGGAAAGGGGGAAACGATAGGTTAAGGATAGGATTTGTGGATTTTAGGTATTTTGGAGCTTTTTTATAATTTAAGAGAAATTAGGGGTTTTATAAATATAATAATATTTTTAAAAGAAAATAAATTTTAAAATACCATATTGTGACATGTGTCACTTAACGTGAAAATTAATGTCGTTGACGACCAGGGCACCTAAATAGGTAATTTGTGTAACGTTAAGTACTTGGATGTGTCAAAAAATAGTTTAAGCACCTATACAAGAATTTAGGTATAGTTTGGGTATTTATTTTGGTATTAAACCTATATATATATTAAAGTACATTTAAGTTTTATTAATCTTAATATTGACACTGAATTAAAATTATAAACACTAATTTTTTTAATATGGTATCTAAATTATCTAGATTTTTTAGTGTATTGTTTATTAAACTTTAGAGATTAAGTGAATATTTTTTAGGGTAAATGATTTTTATGAGATTTCTATATGAAAAAATATATTTTATTAGTATTATAAAATATTAAAAATAAATTAAAATGAATATAATAAATACCATTCCTTTTATTGAAATATTTTATATTTTATAAAATATAAATACGTCTATTTTATTTATTGCTTTAAAAACTACGCTCGACTCCAGAGGAGAGAAGGCTTGAAGGGTCGAATAGAACGAAATTACTAGGAAGAACTGGACCAAACCGGATTTGCGATCTGACAGCTGGCGACTGGAATTTATTTTATGTAAATTTTAAATGGGTAAATCATGAAAATAGTCCCCTTTGTTTTAGATATGATCGGATTTGGTCACTGGTTTAAAAATTATGCGCGTTTGATCCCTTATATTATCGGTTCATTCGGTTTAAGTCACTCATCTGTTAACTCATTAACAAAAATATTATGTCACAATTTAAAAAGTAAAAAAATCCACGTGTTACACATGTCTTCTTCTTTTATAGTTTAATCATTTCATTACACTCTTCATTGCAATAATATACGCCCCATCTTTTAATTTTTTATATCAAAGACACATGTCTTCTTCTTTTATAATTTAATCATTTCATTACACTCTTCATTGCAATAATATACGCCCCCATCTTTTATTTTTTTTATATCAAAGACACATGTCTTCTTCTTTTATAATTTTATCATTTCATTACACTCTTCATTGCAATAATATACGCCCCCATCTTTTTATTTTTATATCAAATACACGTCTTCTTCTTTTATAATTTAATCATTTTTTGGATAATTTAGATTTTATTACCCAAAATAGCAAAGTTTTGCTACAACCAATCAACAAAAGTAAACTAAATAGATAGCCTAATTACAAAAAGAACCAATGATTGGTTAGACTATACCCCAAACATTACAAAGGTAAAAGTTAGTACTATCGAGTCTGCTAATAGATTTACCCCTAAGCCGAATACCAACAGCTTCAATGATTTCTTTGAGCATAATATCGACAATTCGGAATCGACCCTGAAACATTCGCTGGTTTCGTTCCTGCCACAAGGAATAGATAATGCATTCCAAGCAATCTTCAAGATGGTGGTGATAAGGGACTTCCCTTTCCATGTTGAGCTTGCCCGAGAGACCATTTCCTCCCAAGTCAGAGCAGTATAATTCATCCCATTCAGGTTTAAGATCGATTTCCAAAGACCAACAGCCAAAGAACAATGGGAAAATAGGTGGTCCCTTGTTTCTTGGTATTTGTTGTAGTTAACACAGATTCCTTCAGTGCATATTCCCATTCTTTGTAAATGGTCTCTGGGAGGTAACCTATCCAAAATGGTCATCCAAGCAATCAAGCTATGCTTTGGAATATGCATAGGATACCATATAAGTCTATGCCAAAAAACTTTGTGCCCTTGCATCCGAATTTTTTCCCTGATTTCCTTAACCTGCAGAGAACCAGAAGAAATTAGAGGATAAGTTGTAGTCCTCATTTTGAGGATTCTGCGGATGCTCCAACTAACATTGGTTCTAGCTTCAAATTGCCAGAAATCTTGCTCCTTAAGACACATGCCTTCTTCTTTTATAATTTTATCATTTCATTACACTCTTCATTGCAATAATATATGCCCCATCTGTTAATTTTTTATATCAAACCTTTACCATTACTCTGTTTAATATTTGCTCTACAAACAATGAAACATAGAGCAAAACAATGGTTACCTCTTTTCTTTTATTCACTCGTTTACTCATTTTCACCTTTTTCAATAATGTAGGTAACCCACATTTTCATTTTTTCCTCCTTTTTTTCTTTGTTTTTATAGGTGACGTATTTACTCTTGTCATTTTACATGATGCGATTCTGTTGGATTTAACTATGGAAAAGTTGGCAACAACCGCCCCTTCCTGACTGCAACCAAGGTAGTGAAACTATTCAAATTCCAAGGTCTCAACCATGTCAAAGTGTAGGACTGACCCGACCGTTCTCCATGCATTACCCAAATATGAAATCAAAGTCATTATCAACCTTCCAAACAATCAACTCTTAGATACCGCTAATAGAGGGAGTTAACAGTAAAATAGTGGTTTTGGGACGAGAAAGTTAACTCTTGCCAAAATAGTGGTTTTCTTAGACCTTCCAAATAAGCAACTCTTTGCCACCATCGAAAGAGTGTCATTTACTACCCTCATACCGAAATAAAAGCCACTGTAGTTAGTGTTGAAGTCTTCGTCGACCCCCATGTTACCCCAAGTTCCTCGTACTAGCTACCATGGATAATATCCATGAAACTTTGATCGATATTGGCAATTAAAAACATGCACAGTGTCGATGATATCGTCAAGTGATTCAGCTACCTTTTGCATGCCTTCAGCGTCGAAATCATGTGGTATGAAGGTATATGTGGCATGTCTGGGAACTTTGGTGCCCTCATCGCATCATAGTCTATCTCATACATGTGAGAGATAGGTTGATATGGTGTCGGAACTTCATCAGTGGCCAGGTAAGGTGCACCACCACAACCAAAATTATCATCGTCGACTAAAACCGGTTCCTCAGTTTCTTCATCTTCGCTAGAATCATCATGGATTTCTCCCCATCGATTTTCAGCATCAACATCAATAGTCAATTCCGAGTTATATATGTTTCTCTCCTCGTACTCTATTAATGCGGATGTTCCACCGATTTCATTTCCACTTTCCAATAGCGCCATAAAAGTGTTTATCGATCTGTATGTCGGGTCTTCAAACTCACTTCCGAAATCCATTTGAGATGAATCTCCAGCCACATTTCTTGATGACCCAGGAACATCAGATATCTTACGCACATCAACAAATAACTCAATAACTGAAATATTTGTTGACTCATGTATTCCAATTATGGTTCTAATATTATCATATTCTTCAACTGGTACTGCATCATATCTAACTAGATTGGGACATACCATGAACCTATACCTCAAACCATCAACTGTAGCTTTGATATTCCTTTATATCATCTGCTTCATTTCTACAAATGTGACGTCCCTTTTGAATATCATATTTATAGGTATTTTAGACTGAAAAACAACTCCGACCTTATTTTCCATAATATGTCCATTATAATGGACAATCATGAAAAACTTGTTGCTCATTTTCTCCACAAATTCAAAATTTGTATTTAGAATAGCAAAATTATGGTACACTATGATCATAAATCATAAAATTGATATTATACAATATAAAAATAATATTAACATAACAATAATCGTAAAAACAACAAATATTTATAAAAATAATATTAACGTAATAATCAATAGTCAAATACCTCAAATAAAATTTCGGAAGACAACTAACCAGGTTAAATTTATCGAATAATGTAGCACAGATAGACTTTAACTTTCTTCTATTCTTCTTATTTCTTTCTCTTTTCTCTTCTTCCTTCCTCTTTTCTCTTCTTCCTTATTCTTTTATTTCTTTTTTCTTCTTCTTCTTCTTCTTCTTCTTCATTCCTTTCTTCATTCTCCTATTTTTCTTTCTTCTCCCTGGTGCCCCCTCCCATACACTCCCCTATATAATAACAACCCAACCCCATTATTACCCAACCAACCCAATTATTACCCAACCAACCCACCAAACCCGTGATTGCAGCATTATTCATGCTGTTATTGTTGCATATGATGCATACAGACTGGCATCAGGGAGGGGAGAGACGTATGGAGTGCTATGCGTCTTCGGAGGAGAGAGACGTATGGAGTACAATGCGTCTTCGGAGGAGAGAGACGTATGGAGTACAATGCGTCTTCGAGGGAAGGGGAGAGACGCATGGAGTGCAATGCGTCTTTCGTGTGT